GGCGGTATTGCGTCCTCTGGGGGTCTGACCCGACTGTCCGGACGCCTGGTTTTGTTGTGATTTCAATGAAAACAATTTAATCATAATTGATGTCCAAATGTGAGCTACAAATCACTGATCAAACTCTCCCTAAAACACACACTCTATGGCTATTGAGTTTCAATTTGAAACAATTAAAACGGTTTCCCGAGAAGTGAATGCAAATCACTATTTAAACTAAACACTAATATATCACTCAATACTAGATCTAAAAACTATAAAAATCAATATAAAATAAATACAATTTAAAATAATGGCAAAACGCGTTAAATGAACGACAGGTTTGAGTGAATTGAATGGCAATATTCATAACAATACATACTTCAGGCCTTTGCAAAGGGAAGAAGAGATTTCTTAATTTCAACATATTATAGACCAAACTCTCCAATAATAACGACCACTTGTATTGACGCAAACCCTTTCTAACAATACAACGTTTTTCAATGCATTCAAAGCAATACAATCGTCAAAAAGGGCTCTCGTTTTACACATCCAAACAAAACGTTATTTATTTTTACAAATTAAAGCTTTTGATCGACGATTACTATTACAGCTGTTTTGCAATCAAATTCAAAGTTTCTTATATATTAAACGCAAGTATTTGTTAACAATATATAGATTTGAATGCAATTTAATTAATGAAAAACTTAAAAGTGATACAAATTTAGTAAAACTTAATTATTTTTGTTCAAAATTAACGAAATTAACAAAAACTTGAAAACTATTTAGACATCAAAAAAGTTATTCAACAGATGTCACAGCAATTCATACAACGGAGCCATTCATAGAAGACGTGCGATGGGGTTGTGAGCGGATGGCGGGGCGAACACAACGATATGGTAGTCGGGGTGTGTGTGAGTTGGGGGCAAAGGCGGCGTTGAATGGGAACGTTGTCTATGGTGTGGACACAATGTTATAAACACGATGTTTGCATTGAATGCATTGATTGAGTGTTTTTAGAGTTGTTTTGCCGACAAAAACGAGTGATAAGAGTGAGAGTGAATCAAATGATTCGCTGATTGTATATAAAAATCTATATAAATAATTGCAGAATCGAGTCATCAGTTGATATGGTGTTCACCGACTCTGACATTGACTCACATTCCCATCCATTCATGAATTGACGAAACGATTGATTCATTCATTCATTACTTTTCATTCAATTCTTGTTTCGCTTTTAAGTTTTGTTTTGTTTTTTTGTGTTTTTATTTTTTAATTCACTTTTTATTACAATTTATTTAATGTTTTTATTTTCGGCTCACTTTTCGACGGCTTTTATATTTTTATGTCAAACCACTTGTCGTTGACTCGCATTGACTCGCATTGAGATTTAAATGTGATTTTAATGAATAAAAGCGATTGAAAACAAGTGTCACAAACAGTGGAGGAATAATAGGAACCGAAGGAAACATGTCTTTAAACTCAGAGATTATTCGCTACGAAGAAGTGAACGAACGATCGGGCGATGAGTTTGACCACAATTGGCGACAATCGCCGCCACAGACGGCCCACGACTGGGAGGCCTATCGGATGGCCAATGTCTTCGACGACGGAACTCAAACATACTTCTGGTTTGACACCACTTCTCGCCACTCATGTCTTGTATCTAATGTTTGTGTCTTTCGCTTGGGATCCCTTCAGGAGAGCCCATACGCTGACAGTACTGTTTCTGATGACATGTGCCCTCATATATGTGGCTATTTTTGAGCCCATCTCTAATGATACCAATTATAATATAAAACGGTATTTAAAATGNTGTGTCCTTTCGCTTGGGATCCCTTCAGGAGAGCCCATACGCTGACAGTACTGTTTCTGATGACATGTGCCCTCATATATGTGGCTATTTTTGAGCCCATCTCTAATGATACCAATTATAATATAAAACGGTATTTAAAATGTATTTTGTGGTCAAATGCGGTACTAATTGTGTGATAATGTTTTAGAGGTATAATCGCTTGTGCGCTGACATTCATATTGGTTGGTGTGACACAAATACCCGACGGCCCGTTCCGTCGCCCACATCCAGGTTTGTATCCTATGTTAGCACTAATATCTCTCAAGACCTTAAGTTTGGCTCACATTTTATCACTGAATTTCATGCAACCAATGCTTCAAATAGTAATTGAGATAAACTTTTCGTAAGACATCATCTGTTAATCTTGTATTTATTTGGTATATTGTTTGCTACACTTTTCACTTGTCTTTCACTCCCATTGCTTTCTTTTTTATAAAGTGTTTACTCTTTTCCCTAATTAATAATTAGTAATTATATATACAAATTATAAATGATTTTTCCTTCAATTTGACAGCTCTTTGGAGATTTGTGTTCAGCGTTTCGGTTGTCTATGAAATGGCGCTAATATTCCTATTATTTCAGGTTTTAAAACATGACATTCAATATTGAATATGAATTTTAACAACTGGTGTTATTTTTTATTAGACACCAAACGACGCGCGAAAGCTATTAAAACATATCGACACTAATTTGGGGAAACCATTAGTGGAGAGAGATTACGGCGGGAACTGTAAACTATACGATCCCGACGTTCCCAACGATCCCTTCCATAATATTTGGGTATATTTTGAAAGTTTTGATTTCAGATTAGTTTTTAAACTTTACATTAATTTTAGGATAAGTTTGATCTGTTTATTCCCTCGCATTTCTTCGGCTGGTGGCTGAAGGTATGCAATAGACTAACCATTGGTTAAAATAGTTAATTAATGATTACTTTGGTTATTGCGTTTGCAGACCATTTTGATTAGGGACTGGTGGCTGTGTATTGTTAATAGCATTATGTTTGAACTGTTGGAATACACATTAGAGCATCAATTGCCCAACTTTTCTGAGTGCTGGTGGGATCACGTGAGTCTCATCTTACTTCACAAATGATCACTTCTTTGCTTTAATAGTATTTTATTATAATTTGATCCAAAAGTGGATTTTAGACGCTTTGATATGCAATGGATTTGGCATATATTGCGGAATGAAAACACTCACTTACCTATCAATGAAACCATACAATTGGCGCGGACTCTGGGATATACCCACATATAGGGGTAAATTGAAACGAATTGTGGCTCAATTCGGACCACACGGTTGGATTCAATTTGATTGGAGGCCCACTTCCAGTCTCGACCGGTGGATATCCGTCCTTCTCATCGCATTTGTTGTATGTTTTCAGCAAATACTCTATTGATTCATACGATTGTATAATTGTTTTGTATTTTGTTATCTCTCAGACTTTGGTCGCAGAATTGAATACATTTTATCTGAAGTTTGTGTTATGGTTAGAACCGGCGCATTATCTCAATTCAGTTCGACTCGTTTTGTTGCTCTTTGTGGGCGCCGTTTGTTTGAGAGAAACGTTTCAATACTTAGATGACCCGTAAGTATTGGCGTTGAAATAGCGGTGAAATTCTAATTAATTAAATGACTTATGTATTGAAGTGATTGTAAGAAATTTGGTCGTCAATCGTGGGTAATCTTAACCATAGTAACCACAGAGTTCTTAATAATTGCTAAATTCGATTGGCAAACAATCACTAAACCTGTGCCCAAACATGTCATGTGGTTTTGGATCGGCGGCGCTCTCCTGTTATTCTTGTGGACGATTTGGAACTTTTTCCTCCGACGGGTGACTAAAATATTATATAAAAACACTGATAATAACACAACCGATGAGTTAACACATAATCGAAATAACGGCAAGAATGCAATCAAACACACAAACGGTTCCTTCGGAGGGAAACACAAAAATAGCAATCAATTAAATAACAAAAAGAAGAAATAGTTTTAAAGTTTATTTGAAAGTAATTTTAATTTAAAAACTCAAAGCCTTTGAAATTTATATTTGACTTTTTATACCGACAATAATTGTTACAAATTTACCACAATTTGTTGTGATTTTGCAATCGATTAGATATATAAATATTTATATATATTCAGTATTAGTGATACAAATTGATCGATAGGTCTACCCGTCCGCCACTTTTGTGCCCAAAAACTCTATTTAAGATAGACATCGAAAATAATCATTTGTATCGCCGATACGATTCTCAACACCTTTTTCTACACTTTTCTAGATTTAGTGTAATTTTTTATACAAATAATATATTTTTCATAAACACAATGAATATATTATTTTAAGGATATAATCAAAACATTGCAATCATATTAATTCAGAATCAATTGGTTTCAAAAACCCATTAACTGTTTAGTGTCTCAATAAAAATGGATTCAAATTTTAAGAAAGTCTTTATTTCAAAAAATGAAGAAAATTCTCATTTCAATACATAGTTTTGGATAATTTAAATGATAACAGAGTTATGCCACGAGTGCCGAAGCGGTGGACGACTCGTAGCGCCAATTGGGGGCCAAAACTCGTTTCGTTTTGTAATAACGCGCCAATCGATGGATACGGCTCTCAACCAAAATCAGCCGAAACTTCGAGTCCTTGTCTTTGCGATTGCGCTCCAGATGTTTACGAATGGCCACCGCTTTCTTGATCAAGTGGTACAGGTCTTCGGGCAACTGTGGCGCCAATCCCTTCTTCTTGAGTATACGCAATATCTTATTGCCGGTCACCCATCGGACCTGAGCCACGCCGTGCCAGTCCCTCAACATCACACCGATCTGAGACGGAGTCATACCCTTCTTCGCCAGTTTGCAGATCTGGTCCACCACATCATCGGTGGTCAGTTTCAGCCACTAATCAGACAATCAAATCATTAGCAGTGAACGAGTGGTGAGCATCGGATCCATTGCAATGGCTTTTCATTGTACTTACTGTGGGAACAGTTCGTCGATAGGGGAGCGCTGATTGGGAAATACCCTTTCTATTGGACACAAACACAACATATCATTAGTTATGATAACAATTAAATCAAAATTAAATGACAAAAAATGCAATTAAATCGACAATTAATCAAATGTGTGGTCAAGAGTGCGGTTAGTGTCTCGACAGTGACGTCACGCCATGTTATAGCTATGGCTGTGAGAAAGCATTGCAGGCATTGTGTGCCACATGTCTGCCAACGCGACCACTGATACCGCAAATAACCAACAAATTCGGGCCAAACGTCCACCCATTTGTGGACACATTTGACTAATTGTCTCAATTGCGGGCCATTTGATGGACACGAGTGGCTATAAGTGGCCGAAAGTGGCCGTAATGTAGTGGACATACCCGGGAGCGTGCATACGACCCATTTTGCTGGAGTGAAAAGACAGTCAACACGTGTTGGCAAATGCACTACAGATGGCGTACACTATGCGAGTGCTCTGTCCTCACGAGAGCGACATCTCTCGCCTACAGCTCTCCCCTCTCTCTCTCTCTCTCTCTCTCTCTCTCTCTCCACTCGTTTTGTATGCATTGAAACAGATTTACAGTTATTTTATCCCAACTTTTATTTTTCTCTCTCCA